AAGATTAAAAAGACAAACTGACTGGAATTATGAAGATGAAGATTTCCTTATAACAGCAGCATTACAAGGATCAAGGATCAAGTATTCTGTTGTCATTCACCATGAAGAAAACCTTACAGAACGAGATGCAGTTACTCAGATCTCGGTGTTAATAATGATTAAAATAAGCAACGATAGTAGAAATGTCTCGAGGCAATAGCCCTAATAACACTAATTGTTGAAAATGCTGGTAAATAATAGCAGCTAGTTGTAGGACTGCAGGTGGAGGTAAAAATGAGAATGTGGTACCTCTACATGGAACTAAATTAGCAGTAAAATATACAGAACACACAGTTCTGCGTAGACGATGATAAATCAGTGCTACTGTCTCTTTTCAGCTCCATGCCTGAATCTGAAACTTCACATTAATTGAGAAATTACCAGCAGTAGGGATGCTGCTGTGTAGCTTGACACTTTAATTTTGAGGAATCCATGGAGAGGGTATGCATGAGAAGGAGGAAGCGAATCTTTGCGACGTGACTGAAGATATTTTTAACAATTTCCTCCTTTTTTTTGTGGCTTTTTCATTTTTATTGATGCCTAAGAGTTGACTGTCTGAGGCAGAGAAACTAGGAAGCAAGGGAAGATAAGGATTTTGACTTGTAATAAAGATCTTCGACTGCTATCAAACCAGATGTTGCAGTTTTAGTACGTGCTATGATTCTTAAATAACCATGACAGAGTTTGAGGGAGGTGGGACGGGGAGTACTGTCTTTTTAAAATAAGCAATTATTACATGTAAGACAAACTCAAAGTGGAGAAAATAAAGCAAAGTAAAAAAATGCAGGTTATAATGATCAAATAGTATTACAATACTATGTATTATAGATCTCTTATTTAAAACAATAGCTTAAAAAAAATCCTCAATAAAAATTTAAATTGCCTTTTCCCATTACCCAGGTAAGTTAGATCAAATATAATTGTAGTTTTCTTCAGCAGTAAAATGCAAAGGGGAAGAAATTTCTTGTGGCACATTTTCAAACCGACTTTAATAAAATATAGTAGATTTAATATGTTTACCGTTTTTAGCAGGCACATTTTTTGATTTCCACATGTCATCTCTGTGAACCGTCCCCACAATGCCACGTTTTTAGTTTTCATGTTACGCTCAACACATGCTCTGTGAACATAAGCCACCAGGATGATGCACCAGAAAATGAACAATTTTCCAGGCTACTTCACTGTACTTACTTCTTCGCTGTGTATCGTGTGTCCTGTGGGCATTCAACTGTAAGAGGCCAATACGCTTTTAGCCTGTGCCACTTTCTTTCATCTTCCAGTATTATTAAAGCTTCTTTATGTCACATAACAGTAGTGGCAGTATAAGGCACAAAAGGTGCTGACCATCTTGCTTTTCAACGACTGGGAGCAGCTATCGGTGTTCCAGACCCTCCAGTTGGTAATGAGCAGGAGAGCCGTGTCTGCTCTCCCTCTAACACTAATACATCTCAGGTACCCTGGCAATCTAACTGGCATCAAATTCAGCTTTATTTCCATCAAGCTCCTCAGTATTCCACAATGTGAGGGGTGCATACTCAGCAGAAATGGTGAAACGCAAAGACCTGTACTGAATTAACTGAGATGTGTGTGCTGCAGTGTGTTACCAGGTAACATGTGGTAAATGTGCGAAATTTCTGCTTTGTGCATAAATGACAGATGTTGTGAGATTCCTAACAAAAGAATGGCATTCATTAGTGAGCCTTCAAAAAATATCTGCATATTTGAATACCAAATATAAACTCTAAAGATGCCACCTCGGCACTTTGCTGAACTCTCTTTTTGTCCTTTCCAACAAACATTTTTTCATCGGTCTGATCTGCATGCTGACAGCCTTCAGGATGAAATATGATTTTGATTTGTCACAGACATTTATTTAAAAATAAATAATACCTTAAAGTTTATTCTGTTGTGAGTTTTATTAAAAGAAGTCATTTTAGTCAATAGCTCCAATGCCTTAGTAAGTCTCGACATGCTCTTTTCACTCATCTCTAGTAAATAATATCCAGCCACGTGACTGCAGTGCAGACTGAAAACTACAAAAAGGGGAGTGATACACTAAGAAAACACAACACCTTATCATTCCCACAGCGGCCAATTACAGCTACCCTGCTTCCTCCTAAGCCAATCACAACTTTCAGATGTTGTCATGAGAGCAATATTGTACCCGCTATGCTCTCTCACTCACACACACACCACAATGCAGGAATGAGAAACGGTGGAAAACGATAGACCCTGGACACTTTTTTGCTCAGCTTTATTTTAACACTGCTCAATGTTGCCCAAAGGAAAGCGAGATGTTTCCAAATCTGTGTTTGGTCTCAGATCTAACCAAGCCTTATCTTTAGGGCAACTGTTGTCTGTTTGCCTGCTTTTTCATTTGACTTGGTCATTTTGTCCATCTGGACTTAACAATATCTGCAACCCCCCCCCCCCAAAACACAACATCCATCTTAAAATACTAATAAAAATACAGTATTAATACGAAATAAAACAACAGCAATGCATTGTTCATGAATGTGTCTGCTGATTTGCATCTGAGGCTTTTTCTGTGTGAACCACTGATAATTACATTGCGAGGTAATCAAACCAAAAAGCTCCCTGTTTTCCAGCCTGTTTACTAACACACTGTGATAATTGCATTCGCAGGGCATGGTGTGAATGTACACAAAGCCACTATCTGAGAAAGCAGCCCTAACACAGAAATGCAGCAGTGTTGAGGGAAGTCTTTAATTAATTCATTCGTTGACAAAAAAAAAGCCCCCCGTGTATTTCACAGCGCCTAAAAACAGAAAATCAATACTTGTGCTTTTTAAATAACAAATCACTATGTACTCGTGTGCAGCTTCGCCGTGTGGCAGGATATATTGAAGCTAAATATACAGTATAATTGCACGTCATAGCAGCACAAAGCTGTGCCTCACAATGCATCCTCTTCTGAGAATTGAACTTGTCATTACTGGGTTCACTGAATGGACCCAGTAAACAGTGTTACATTATCCTTTATCACATGTTAGTATAACGATCACTGTGAAAAGCATTAAAAGCTTTACTTTAACATTTACAGGTTTGAGGGTAACGTGAGAGAGGCAGCGAGAGAGAACGAGCAATCCATCAGTTACAAGTGAGACTGAGAAACTGGGAATAGTGAATACACAAATTGTTCATACTGGTGTGGTAATATATCCTGTGCAGTCACCTAAAACATCACGACCCACAATGTCAGGCAGATAAATCTGAAAATGTGGGTCTCAAGGAACTCCAGTGACGTGCATGCAGCAAAAACGATTGTGTCATCAATCTCAAAAGTCACTTTTTTATATATGAAATTCTTCTAAATTGTCCCACCCTGCAGCTGCGTTATATGTCTACAGAATGTCTGCCAAAAGCTGGGCATCAATACAATGCTTCTCCTATGATTTGTGAGAGATGTCCGGAGCAGAGCACAGTATGAAATGCAGAGAACAGCCGGGCCTCTGTAGGCACCATTATATTGATGTATATTCTGTACCTGTGTCACTGCGCTGATCGACGATGACAGAAAGACAAAGACTAGCGGCTCAATCGAGGCCGAACAAAGACGTCACCTAGTATGAGTCAGCTGTCTTCTCACAATATGCCCGTTCATAATTCTTCTTTCAAACATTAGCCATTCATTGACATTGAAGATGACGACCCCTATGATTTGTTCAGTCTTGACTATGAACCTGATTACTTAGACTAGACAACGCTTGAAGGATCTTTTCAATCACGACAAATTTACATCCATGCATATGTCTGTGTGTGCTGGCTCTAGTTCAGCTTTATCAGTAAGCAGAAACGAGTAATCATCCTGACACGGGACGGAAAAGAAAAATCACCAATGTAGTCGCACTGACATCAAGCTGCAGATTGAGCCTACATGAGATCAATACGGCAACAGATCAATTCAGCGACAGGACCTTAGAAACCTCGATGCTAATGCTGGCGTTAAGTGGAAATGAGCAGACTTTAAATGCAAAATTACAAAAACACAATGCATCAGTTGATTGGCTAAATTGGCTGTTAGTGTGAATGTGAGTGTAAATGGTTTTCTGTCTCTCTGTGTTAGCCCTGTCCGGAGTTTACTCTACTTTTCATCCTATTAACAGCTAGAAAACGGATGAAATAGATGGATATATGCCTTTTCCCCCCCCAATCTGTACACAAGAAACATTAGTGTCATGTTCAGTGTTGCAGAGTTGCAGTTTCTTGTTTTTTAGTTTAGTTTATTCTTGTTTACCTTTGTTTTTTTGTTTTTTTAAGGATTTATGTTTGAAGTCTTACAGTTTCTTGAGTGGTTTTGGTCATTGTTCTCTGTGTCGTCCTGGTCTGTTTCCCCAGTCATGTCTCTGTGTCTGCCTGGTCCCTCTGTGGTCTGTCTCTGTGGCCTGTCTCTGTGGTCTGTCTCTGTGGTCTGTCATGTCTCTTTTTATTCTTCCTTTGTCTTTGTCAAGTCTGTATGTCTCAGTCTGCGTTAGTTTCCTGTTTTAGTTTGACAGTCTCTTGTCATGTGTGCGTTATATTCAGTTTTGCTTCCCTTGTCGTTACTCAAACTTAGCTCACCTGTGTCTTGTTTTCCCCAGCTGTGTTCCATCTGTCTAATTGCCTTATGTGTATATTTAAGTCCCCAATTTTCTTCTGTTCTACGTCATTTCGTCATCATATTCCTTCATGCTGTGTGTGGTCCAGTCTGTCAGTGTTTCAGTCAGTCCTCTCCATTTAACGCTGCCTTATGTTTTGTTAAGTTTGCCGGTGCAAGCTAATAAAGCTGTGTTTTGAGTTTATGTTTGTCTGCAGAGTCCTGCACTTGGGTCCACTCTCTGTCTGACACAGCATCCCATAACAACAGCTCTATAGCTCCATATAATTAAGATATTAAGATAACCACTGCTAACCAATCACTCCAACGCTGGTTTGTTAGATCTCGCGCACAAAGAACTCACCCCTGAAGTTCCTTGACAGACATGGAGATCTTGAGGTTGTGTCCCAGAACATGAAGTGCAGTGAGGATATCAGCCCATTGGACCATCTCTCCTAGAGGCCCTCCCTTCAACACCTTTGGGCTGAAAACATCTCCAGACTCCTCAGTTAGGAAGCCTACATGAACGAGGATCTGAAAGAGAACACATCGTTATAGAAGAGTTAAAATAAAGGTCTGTAGATGGGGTACATAAGAAAACTTGAAAGGACATTGTTTAATAATAAATAATCTTTAAACAAAGGTTTTTACGAAAATCATGTTTTTTGTGGTTTCTTATAATGTTCTGCTGTATTTAAATTAAAGCACGAGATGGTTTAAGGCAAATCACTAAAAAAATTCTGTAAATGTACCTAAAATAATAATGATAATAGTAATAATACATCACCAGAATAGTTTTTAAATTGTTAATAACTAGTTAAAACCAACAACAGATATGAATAGAGAGTCTCAAATCGTGCTTAGACTACATTAATAACTCAATGCCATTAAGGTTATAAAATACAAAAATAAGCCCAACAGCTTTAGTTATTATCTGTAGCTCCAAACCAATGTACTCAAAAACCAAAGTTACCCAATAATACAAACTAACAGAGAGAGAAAGCTGAATATAAGAGCAACCAGCACGTTTCACAATGAACAATAACAGTTTTTGTCCAAGTTTCAGAACTATGAAGAGCACAATAAATCTTGAACAGGCCTGTCTGATGAGAAGTCAAACGTATAAAAATTCAGTGTATTATGTTTTAATTCTTTGTGTTTCTTTTCACCTCATTTAAACCCAGATTAACTTCATTGTATTGTGAAAATACAGTAGATCTAAGGGGGCCATCACATCTGTTGTAGGCCTTCTTGTTGCCTGAAACATTTTCACTATTCTACATCATATTTATTGACATAATTTTACAGTCAACATGTTTTATTTATGATGGTCTAGTTATGCCACAGGCACCCTAAATTAAGAATAATAGCAATTACCAATTTTTACATGTTTCTGTAATGGTTAATCCACCAATATGTGCGCAGTCTTTAATGAAAAAGCAATTTTTTATGCTAAAATGTAATCTAAAATTTGAATATATTATTAAAAGTTTACCGTTTTACAAAAAAGCTGAAAAAATAGTAAAATGCCAAATTACAGTTATTTATTTGCATTCCTGAAAAGAAAAAAAAAAGTTTCACAT